TCACATAATTTGGTGCTGGTTACACCTTTCTCTCAGTGCAGAGATGTAATATTTGGAGAAGAAATGTTTTAGTATTTTGGAATAAGCATATAGCTAATGGAAACAGACAAGCACATTTTTAAGATGAATTGCTTTATAAGTAGCCAGTGGCGGACTTAGAGATTTTTGGGTCCCAGGTGAAGTTCAGGCAGGGGTGAGGGTGGCTACTCCAAGTCAGCCACTGTATAATTTAATTTCTACTTCATTTATTTGTTTATTGTATTTTTGGTGGCAATTAATTGTATGCTCATTTATTTATCGAGCATTTATTTATGTATTTATATATGGCAGAATCAGTCCTCCATGAGTGCGTCAGAGTCTGGAGATCAGTGTTCATATTGCAATACTGTGAACCAGTGAGCATAGAAGCTGTAGTCCCTCTCCTGGCCTCCACAGCTGAATAATTAGATGCTGATCCTACAGCTCTCAATAACATTATGCATGTTGGTTTGGAGGGAGCTGTCATTCAATAGGCATGCACCTTGGTGCTCAATACAAAATAGGTGATGTGTCTAAATCAGCAACTCTGCAGCTCTTTATAGGAGGCGTGACTTTTAGCTCCCTCAAGGAGGGAATGAAGGTGAACTTTCCCTCTATCTCCTCTCTTTGAGGAAAACATGCATATTTGTTATGTGAAAAAATGATAGAGGAAAATAAAATCGTTTTATCAAAAGATTGATGTAAATTGAACAAGAAAGCATACAAAAAAGTTATATATATATATATATTTTTAAAGGGAAATAAAAGATAAAAAAACAAAACATTTTACTCAAGATCATCAAGCTTTGGAGTTAATTAGCAAAAACCTTTATCTGAATTTTTTTTTGATCATCTAATAAATAAAAGTATTTAAACTCAGAAAATCTCACAAACTGATATGATTTTAACTTTTTGAATCTCAAATGGTCAGATCCTAAAAACACATTTGATTATCCGAGATAAGAGATTGCCAAATATTTGATTAACTTTCATCAGAGCATCTATACAATACTTTCTATAGAGAAAAAAGTTCATCTTTTGGGCTTAAATATAAAGTTGCCTCATCCTGGACATTTTCTGGACTCCTTATCTTTTTTTTTTTCCTAAAAAAAAAAGCAGTAATAATGTATGCAAAACTTTATCTTTGTTTAATTACTTTAGTTTATCATTTTACATATTACAGTTATTGTTCAGAAAAATAAAACAATAAACATATGAAAGAACTGATTAATTAATTAGGCTACTTATTTCTTTACACCTTAAGCAATGTTGAGAATCAGTACAAAAATATGACACCAGCAGATATGTTAAATTCTCTCAGTGTATAAAGCAACATTTATTGTGTCTGCATGTATAACTTTACTGATTGTTGCCATGTGATGATCTAAAAAAACCTTTTAACTTTCTGCATTAAGAGTAAATAGTTTGATTTTGATTGAATTAAGGGACAGATATTGTTTTGCAGGATTGATGTAAATCCAGCTAGAAGCTCCCAGAGAGGATTTATTGTTTACCATCACAAACAAAGCTTCTAGCTCAGGTAAAGTTCATCTCTCTGTTCCTCATGATGGCTGTGATGCTCAGTAGAGCACCTCACGTCATACTGGGTTAATAGATAAATAAGCTGTATTTGATTTTCCCTGGTCTGAGTCAGTCATCTGAGTCCTATTTTTCTTCTTTTGATTAATCCATTTCTTTTTGTTTCCGTGCGCAATGACGCACCGAGTTCCATCTCTGTGGATGGCACTGCGGCTGCTCTGGAATCAGCCTCCCCGTTGCAGTGTTGTTTTCTTCTTCTTGTTAATATTTCCCATGTAATGGACGAGGCAGGCCAACATCCATGGTCTGAACAGTTGTTCTGTCCATTAAAGACAAACCCGAAGCTGCGCAATCGCGGTGCCGCGTGTGCGCATATACCATTTCCCCCCCTCTGTCTTTATTGTCAGGTTGTGGTAGAGCTGGTAACGATTATATGAAATACGTTAAAACTCATCTAATTACTTTTTAAATAAAAATGTTAAAAATTGATCTAATAATGGGACCTAATACATCTTTTTAAACAGACACGTTCATCTTTTGTGAGATCTGGGGCCATTTAGAAAATATGCGGCGATTAACCCAATATTTGGATATGTTTTCCCTTACTTTTCATCTCTGCCTTCATAGCTCTGCCTCATCTCTCTCTTTTCTGATCTCTCCCTCTGCTTCACACTGGTTTAGGGCCCAGGTGGTTGCCTGTAGGGTAAGTCCATTGTCTTAAGACCTATTCATTATAAAAATAGTACTTTAGGGCCTCTATTGGTGACGGTTGCTGTGGATATTTATCATAATAGTCCATCCATCCATCCATCCATCCATCCATCCATCCATCCATCCATCCATCCATCCATCCATCCATCCATCCATCCATCCATCCATCCATCCATCCATCCATCCATCCATCCATCCATCCATCCATCCAATAGTCATGTAATCCAATTTAATTCTCCATTTATTAAATGGAAAACAAAGGATTCCATTCCATAATAATTCATAATTCAAGCCAAAAGCATGGTAGGTGCAGAATGGACCCAAATGCATCCATGCTGGAAAACGAGATAAAAGGAAACTTGCCAGTGAGACACGTGAGCTGATTTTAATTAATCAGATGAGATTGGATAAAATGTGGTAAAGCAATAGCTTCAGGGTGTAGACATTTAAGTTATTGTGGTGTTATATATTTTTTCCTTCCTCTAATAAATCTAAATCATAACTAATGAAACAGGTGTGTCTGTTCCCATTTTAGATGCATTTATCTACAAATTTATCTGAATGCTTGTATACATTCTCCTGCTTTTATCCAGCGTCACCCGCACTGTTAAAAAAAAAAAAAAAAAAGATTATCAAATTTTATTAGATTTTATTCTATTGTCGACTTTCTCTGCCTGTCAATGAAAAAGAGTAAACGAACTGGACAAGATAAAACATGCCAGTTTATTTAGGAACTTTCTGCCACTTTGCTGTTTTTTTTAAATCTTTTATTTTTTCTTGCAGTACCAGGTATGATCTCATTCCACAGTCTATGTGGTTTTGATCCAATGAGGAGATGGAACTTTTACACCAATATGCTGTATAATCACACTGGTGCCCAATAAAACATTCAGCCATATTTGAACCCACAAAATGTGCTGCTGCTGTTTATAGAAATGGCCCTGAGTGACCGCTCACCAGCAGGCTTTTATTGCTGGACTTCACGTTCATTAGCTTAATTATTTGGCTATCAGAGAACACTATAATTAACAATCCTATAATAAATTTTAGCTGCACACCCACAGGAAGCAGTGAGTGTATTAAATAAGATCCATTTTGCTTTAAATATGTTGGAGGTTTAGATTCACTAAATAAGCTTATTTCTGGAAAAGGTTTTTTTTCTATGTTTGTTTGTTTATATTAATCTTTGATAAGCAAAGTTTGGGAATTTAATTATCTTATGCCTTAAAGTAGTTCATTATCAGTATTGAACTGGTAATCAGTGTAATTTCAGGAGCTTTAAGGATTTAAGGGCATTAAATAAAAAAAAGAAATCGGATTAAGAGACATCATAAATAAACATGCAGATGTTATCTTTAAAAGACAGACCTAGTTTTAATCTGACAAACCTAATCAGAATGTTTAAATGCTTTTATTTTAGATCATTTTAAGAACTGCATATATTACTGATAACAACTATTAACAATTATTTTATTATATTACAATTATTAATCAACATGCTTTATATCATATCACATAGTCCTACGACCTCATGTTTAAAAGTAACATTTGCATCATACAGCTGGAACTATTGATAACAAACAGTGTGGTAAACCAGATGCCCATACCATGACACCACCACAAGGCTGATCTGTTGACACAAGGCAGAAAGGATCTATTCTAAACTTTGACTGTATACCGTTAGAATGGTGCAGCTGCAAATCCAGACTCATTGTGCCTGGCAGTGTTTTTCCTGATGTGATGTTAATGCAGGAATGCTACTATAAATATTTCTGCTTCTAATGTCCTTCTGCTTTAAGGGTTGGCCTTTTGGGTTCAGATACATTGGCTGTTATGTGTTTAGCTGTTGCCTTTCAACAATTTTAAGTCAGTTTACTCTTTTTCTTCTCAAACCTCCATCATCAACAAGGATGTGACCGTCTCCCATTGGATGCTTCATCTCTTTTAGAAGGGTTTTGGTTTCTGAAATATTCAGACCATCCTGTCAGACGCTAACAAACATGCAATCTTCAAACCTCGGTAGAACTTCAACAACATTGTTCAATTACCTCCATGTGATTGACTGACTGGTTCTTTGTGATAACAAAACATTTACAGGGTGTACTGAGCAAAGAGGACGATGGGGGAAACTACTGGCTGTAAGACATCGACTTTGCTGCAACAGGATTGTTGCTTCTCCTAATTTAAAAAGCAGATCATTAGACCACAGCGTCTGTGTCACTTTGACTATCCACTGCATCATTTCGTAGTTCTGAGTTTCCATTTTTAACACAACAGACGTTTTCTTTTTTATTATTTTTATCATTTGTTTATGATTTATTTTATTTTTGAAATCAGAATTTCTTTTCAAACACCCCTTTACCTGTTATTGTTTTAACGAGTTTCAAATACTGGTAACAGCTTTTTAGTTCATGAGAACATCAATTTAAAATCCTCATTTGACCACTATAAAAAACTTTAATCCAAGCAGTCAAAACTCTCCTCTTTGCTAGCTGTAAATAACCTTTAAAGATGTTGGCTTTGAGTTGTTGATGAGCACATATGATGTTATATTCTCTGCTAATTTGTTGCTGTGGACTATCATAACTTTTTTTTTGTCTCAAACCAACTACCGATGTACTGTTAAATGAATGACCTCATTTTAGTCATGTGTTACTTTCACTTTTTTTTATTTTACAGTTTTATCACAGACAAGTTTGACATAAATACACTTCTAATTAATCTCTGCAGTCATTCAAATAAATTAAGACCATTCACTTGCATGGAAACAACAACAATGGTGTTCATAACAGTGATGACAGAACAACAGCGATATTTACGAAAAACGAAATGCAACACAGATGATGTTCATGTCGCCGCACCATGCATCATTCAAGAGGTTTAATCCTCAGGCTCTCCTTTTATAGAAAGTGTGTTTGCAGGGTGGAGCTCCAGGTAGAACCAACAGGGTGTTGCCAAACAAGTGAAAGATGGTAGCAAATATGTCTGCATGCTTCAAGGTTTACAGTATGTAAAGTGATTCTATTCAGATAGTTTCAAAACTATGAATTAGTTCATGTCCAGAGCGTGCTGTTTGAATGATTAGTGTTTCCAGAAACAGATTATTTTTTTTTTTTATGTAAGTGAAAAGAGACACATTTTCAGGTTTAGAAATTGTCTTTTCAAGTAAACACAAACAGATGCTTTATGGGCATGTTTTTTTTTCTGTTCAAATCTCTTTGTAACATTCAGGGCATTCTTAGGGTCTCCTCACAGTCCTGCCCCAATTTTCCTGTCTCCACCTCCTCCTACCTGCATCCCCTCCAGCTCATCATCAGAGAATGGGCTGTGGGAGTCGTACCCGAGCTTGCTGCTATGCTGGAAGAAGTCTGTGGACCGTGATATTCCAACTTTGTTGCTCAGGGTGATACGATACCCATGCTGGCTTCCCTCCTCCTCTTCTTCTTCTTCCTCTTCATCTACTTCATCGTCTTCCTCCGCGTCCTCTCCGTCTTCCAGTCCGTACTCTATCCGACTGCTGTCCACATTTAGACCTCGTCTGGTCTCATCTGATTTGTCACTTGCCCCTTTTCCTCCACTTCTTAGTCGCTCAGCCTCCCCCTGATTGGAGGCAGATGCCTGCTCCTTTGCTTTCCTGCTGCGCTTCCACTTCATCCTCCGGTTCTGAAACCAGATCTTGACCTGCCAGGGAATGAACAATATGTTGATATTTCAAATACAGCTGAAAATGAGATCTAATTGATTTTTTAAAATCACATTTGTTGTTATTATACTAGTAGTTTGATTTAAAAGGTTCATAAATATGTCAAGAATTTCAGGAAGAAAAATTGTTAGAAATGTCCCCCAAGATGAATAAACACCATTGAAAAAAAACAAAAACAAAGACACAGACTAATCAAAGAATTGAAAGCAATTTATCAAAAAGCAAAACAAATTTTTATACTTTATCTTAGATCCATTAGATTCATTTAATTTTACTAAATTTAAATCAAAAAAGAAAAATGTAAATAAGAGGCAGATTTTTATATCTCTAGAGTCGGAAAAGGCTGACAATGCAAGGTTAAAGCACTGAGGTATGAATCTCATGCCTATTTTAAGACCCTACAGTATTTAAATGAAAGCATTAGTAGAAAATCAAAATATAGATTCAACAGCTTCTGACATATTATTGACAGGTTCTAAACTCATTTATTTTTACAATTGTTCCTTTTCTAGAATTTGTTTAGTTATTGGATGAATTGTGTTAGGAAACATTTTAGAGATTTAGCCACAAAGTCCAGAGATTAATATAAAATTAAATGATATATGCCAATTTTAATCCACTTCTGCAAGTTTTCCCCTGAGTCATGATTCTGATGGAAATGTCAGTGAGATCAGTATTCAAAGGTGGTGATGCTGTCTCACCTGAGTCTCAGTCAGCATCAGGGAGGTGGCCACCTCAAAACGCTTGGGTCTGGACAGGTATTTGTTTAGTTTGAACTGGTTTTCCAGTTCCAGGAGCTGCTGGCTGGTAAAGGCCGTACGAGGCCTGCGACATTTCCCCAATAGGCCGGACTGAGGGCCTGCTGAAAGAGGAAGAGCATCAGTTCAGTATCAATCAAATACTTCCACTTATTACTTGGTATCGGCGAGGACAGCTGCAATTAACTCTGATAAAAGACTTATTGAAAAAAATGTGACAAAACGAATTTAAGATTTAAAATATTTGGTCAGACAGAGCCACCTGCTTTTAATTATAAAACACCAAGGACACTGGAAGTTCACTGTGATGCTGTGGGTGGGAACAGGGACACATATGCCAGCACTCTGGGGCCATCATTAACTATAATAGCTTCACTGCAGTTTATTGTTGACGGAGGGTGGGGGGTAGGGGGGTAGGGGGGGGCGCACCAGAAGCCGGGCGCGGGGGCCATAAAAACGCAGGCATGCCATTAACTTAATGAAAATTCAATGAAGGCTTTTGGGGTTTTATTGATGAACTACAGTACGTTTTAGGTGTTTGTTTATAGTTACTTCGTCGCACAAAGACAATTTTCATCTTGTTGTCGTTTATAGAGAAATAAATGAGACAAATTTAAAAATATGACACAAGGATAAGCAGTAAAAAGCAGACGCGCTGGACTGCGAGGGACGATTTAGGGCTTTCAAATACAGAGCGCTACCTCATGTACAAAAAAAGATTGATTAAAACAACGAATATATCAAGATAAACGCATTTAAGTATTACTATTTGAACTATGATGCGCATTTGCAACTTTGGATAGAGGAAAAAGAAGGAAATCAAAAGCAAAGTATATAAACTCATTAACACTTTTTCCCCCCCAGTGAAACTTTTTTCTTTATTTGTTTATGTCCCTCATTGAAAATCTGTTGGTTTTCAATTAATCTGTGTTGGTCATACTTACAGGTGTAATCTGGCATCCGGGGCATCATAATCCCGGCTCTAATCCAGTGTTCCAGGGGTAGAGATCCGGCCATGGCAGCCGCCTTCAGGTGCTCCGGGTAGCTGTGCGTCAGCTGCGTAAAACCGGTGTATGCGAAGGCTGGATGCTGCCCTCCCAGAGCGCTCAGTGGGTACATCGGTGGGGGATACATCCCGTGAAATGCGCCCTGAGTCAGAGAAGCCAGGCCTGGGTGCGGGAGATTAAGGCCGTTCGGTTTGGGCATTATTCCGGTCTGGAGGTGCGCTCCCCGCGGGGATGGGGTGTCTGCGCGCCGGCAGGACACCGGGCTGCCCGCCGGGCTGTCGCTGCTCAGACCCGGGGAGAGATCACGGCTGCAGCGGTTGGTATCATCGGCGAGGAGGGCGTCGATCCTGAAGTTTTTAGACTTTTCCATGATAACAGCCTAAACTCTGAACCTTTGAAGAAAAACGCTGAGAAGGTGCGCACCTGTACGACTGCGAAGCTTCTTGACTTTACAAAGTATTTTCATAGAGTTGGAGGAAAAGACTGAAAAATGGTGCAACTAATCACTTATTAACAAACGATCAGTAGTTCAAGGCAATATTATTTTTTGGCACTTGCTTCCTGTCATCCTTTCTCCTCAGGCGTTCTTCCACATCTCGCCCTGCACCATTAAACCTACAAAGGTATGCGTCTCTTCCCTCACCACCCCTCTCCAACTGACTGCGCTGCGATTGGCTGGAAGCGAAGCTGCTCCTACGGGCCTCTAATCAGCTAATTACTCGCTCGTTTCTCCCCCCCAGAAAACATTCAGAGTGAGGTAATGTTCAACCCTTGTCCCGCCTGCAAACACCTCCAACTGTATTGAAACCTTGGGTGTTACATTAGAAGATTGGGCCCCCTTATGTTCAGTCTTTATCTAAGTGCAACTGTAGAGCCACTCACCCATAATTACAGGAACTTTCACACACACACAAAAACAAACCCCCTGCAGAAATCACCTTCATCATCACATTTAGTTAAACTGCTTTCTAACTACTTAGAAAACAATCTGTCCATCATTTGGACGCCTCATCTCATCTCATATGAAGGGCATACCATTTCCATTAAAGTTTACGATCTGGAATTGCACACAAATCGTATAAAACTGTAATGAATTGGGGGCTAGAAGTTAATTGTCCTCCAACCCCCCGCCTAATGTGGACTAATGCAATTTTAAGACAGAAAAAGTCAAGGGGCATCAGTAAAAGAGGAGTCCCACACCATCGTTAATGTCTTCAGAGATGTTTCTTAATTGAGTGTCACAAAAAGATGCTCATCAAACCTTATGCACTTTTTCACCAAGGCACATTTTTTGTACAAAATTATATTATTATAACAATATTATTTTTGCATTATTATTAATTTGCATGTGTTATTTGAAAAATAAAAACAAAACATTGACGATATAGCCTAATAATTCATTGTTTTACTGTAGGCCTATGCATAGGACATTGGGCTTGAGCATAGAAAGGGGACGATTCATTTACATGTGCAGTAATTCAAGGCAGGCAGGGGATGGATGGCTGTTTGTTTGTAGCTCTGCATCTTTGAAATGAAATAGGGAGAAGTGATATTTATGCAGCCCTACCAAAAATGACAAAAGATTAGATTCATACAACAAACCAAATGACTTTTGGTTTTCCAGTCAATACGAACATCATGCAGACAATCATATTCAAATGCTTTGTACATATTATCACAAGCAACATCTTTCAAAGGTAAGTGGGTATACCAAAAGCTAAGTGTGATACATAATACATGCCTTATTAATGCTGTGACCCAATTATCTGTGTATAATTATTATTAAATGACTATAATACATTGCTTTGAGATGCAGGTATTGATTTTTTGTGTATACACACACTAGGGTTGTCAAAAGTATCGAAACTCAAAAAAGTATCGATACT